CAGTAACACTCGCACCCCCTCTCCCTCACCTCTCCCTGTGCACTCAGTAACATTCGCACCCCCCCCCCTCCCTCACCTCTCACCTATGCACTCAGTAACATTCGTAGCCCCTCTCCCTCACCTCTCACCTGTGCACTCAGTAACACTCGCACCCCCTCTCCCTCACCTCTCACCTGTGCACTCAGTAACGCTCGCTCCCCCTCTCCCTCACCTCTCACCTGTGCACTCAGTAACACTCGTAGCCCGTCTCCCTCATCTCTCACCTCTACACTCAGTAACACTCGCACCCCCTCTCCCTCACCTCTCACCTGTGCACTCAGTAACCCCTTCTCCCTCACCTCTCACCTCTGCACTCAGTAACACTCGCACCGCCTCTCCCTCACCGCTCACCTATGCACTCAGTAACACTCGCACCGCCTCTCCCTCACCTCTCACCTGTGCACTCAGTAACACTCGCACCCCCTCTCCCTCACCTCTCACCTGTGCAATTAGTAACACTCGCACCCCCTCTCCCTCACCTCTCACCTGTGCACGCAGTAACACTCGCACCCCCCTCTCCCTCACCTTTCACCTGTGCACTCAGCAACACTCGCAGCCCCTCTCCCTCACCTCTGTACTCAGTAACAGTCGCACCGCCTCTCCCTCACCGCTCACCTCTGCACTCAGTAACACTCCCACCCCCTCTCCCTCACCTCTCACCTGTGCACTCGAGAAACACTTGCACCGCCTCTCCCTCACCCCTCACCTTTGCACTCAGTAACACTCGCACCCCCTCTCCCTCACCCCTCACCTCTGCACTCAGTAACACTCGCACCGCCTCTCCCTCACCTCTCACCTGTGCACTCAGTAACACTCGCACGGCCTCTCCCTCACCGCTCACCTCTGCACTCAGTAACACTCGCACCGCCTCTCCCTCACCTCTCACCTGTGCACTCAGTAACACTCGCACCCCTCTCCCTTACCTCTGCACTCAGTAACACTCGCACCCCCTCTCCCTCACCTCTCACCTCTGCACTAAGTAACACTCGCACCCCCTCTCCTCACCTCTTCCTTGCACTCAGTAACACTCGCACCGCCTCTCCCTCACCTCTCCACTCAGTAACACCCGCACCCCTCTCCCTCACCGCTCACCTCTGCACTCAGTAACACTCGCACCGCCTCTCCCTCACCTCTCACCTGTGCACTCAGTAACACTCGCATCCCTCTCCCTTACCTCTGCACTCAGTAACACTCGCACCCCCTCTCTCCTCACCTCTCACCTCTGCACTAAGTAACACTCGCACCCCCCTCCCTCACCTCTGCACTCATAACACTCGCACCCCCTCTCCTCACCGCTCACATTTGCACTCAGTAACACTCGCACCCCCCTCTCCCCATCACCTCTGCACTCAGTAACACTCCAACCCCTCTCCCTCACCTCTCACCTCTGCACTCGTAACACTCGCACCCCCTCTCCCTCCCTCTCATTAAACACTCGCACCCCTCTCCCTCACCTCTGCACTCAGTAACACTCGCACCCCCTCTCCCTCACCGCTCACATTTGCACTCAGTAACACTCGCACCCCCTCTCCTCCCGCTCACCTCTGCACTCAGTAACACTCACACCCCTTTCCGTCACCTCTCACCTCTGCACTCGGTAACACTCGCACCCCCTCTCCCTCACCTCTGCACTTAGTAACACTCGCACCCCCTCTCCCTCACCTCTGGCCTCAGTATCACTCGCACCCCCTCCCCTCACCTCTACCTCTGCCCTCAGTAACACTCACACCCCTCTCCCTCAACGCTCACCTCTGCACTCGTAACACTCGCACCCCCTCTCCCTACCTCTGCACTCAGTAACACCCACGCAACCCCTCTCCCTCACCTCTCACCTCTGCACTAAAGTAACACTCGCACACCCTCTCCCTCGCCCTCCACCTCTGCCTCAGTAACACTCGCACCCCCTCTCCCTCACCGCTCACCTCTGCACTCAGTAACACTCGCACACCCCTCTCTCCCTCACCTCTCACTCAGTAACACTCGCACCCCCTCTCCCTCACCTCTGCACTCAGTAACACTCGCACCCTCTCCCTCACCTCTGAACTCAGTAACACTCGCACCCCCTCTCCCTCACCTCTGCACTCAGTAACACTTGCACCCCCTCCTCCCCTCACCTCTGCACTCAGTAACACTCGCACCGCCTCTCCCTCACCGCTCACCTCTGCACTCAGTAACACTCGCACCCCCTCTCCCTCACCTCTGCACTCAGTAACACTCGCACCCCCTCTTCACCTCACCTCTGCACTCAGTAACACTCGCACCCTCTCCCCCTCTCACCTCTGAACTCAGTAACACTCGCCACCCCCTCCTCACCTCACCTCTGCACTCAGTAACACTCGCACCCTCTCTCCCTCACCTCTGCACTCAGTAACACTCGCACCGCCTCTCCCTCACCGCTCACTTCTCCACTCAGTAACACTCGCACCCCCTCTCCCTCACCTCTGCACTCAGTAACACTCGC